GTTCCTGCCTTCCCTTCGGGAAAGTTAGCAGCAGTAAGTCCTGCCCTGCACTAGCAAAGTATTGGAAAACCCATTGTATCAGAAGGCTGCCCCTCCCAAGGCCAACCTGCCTAGGGAAGAGTGTTTACCTTGGCAGTCACACATCTTTATAGCAGCAATAAAACCACACTGCCAAAGAGACCAACTGATGTATGGAGGGCTCTGAGGCACAGCTAGTGATCTTCCCAGACAGACACTGCTGAAGATGCGGGGAAACTGGAGAAGTGCTTTCACCCCAGTGGTCAGGGTGGGGATTCCTGGGCCCAAACAGGCTTTGTGCTCTGGGTGCAGTGGACGACGTCGCCCAGATCCGCCTCCGCACTGACCTCTCTGCTCTGACCCCGCAGCCCAGCTGGGCTCCTCTTGACACGCCTGGAGACCAGGACCCTTTCCTCCTCCAATCCTGGCCACACGCTGCCCCCTTTATTCTGTGCACATTATCTTGAACATGGAAGAGACCAGCACCTTCCCTTCCTTCCCCTTGCCCTCAGAATTCTCTCTGAAATGTCTCTTTCCTTGTCCTCTCCCAACTTGGAAAGAAAGCCTTCTTCCTTCTCCACCCCTTGGTCTCTGTGCCCAGTGTCACCCCTACTTCAGCAACCCTCCCTTCTCTCTGCTGCCCGACGCTGCTGACAGGAGTCTCTCGGGCCTCTGTGTCCCCTGCTGCGGAGCTGGGTGGCCTGGGCAATGCCTGTCCCACCTGAAACAACTGAGTGCGCAGGCAAGCCACTTAACCTGAGCCTCAGTTTCCCCGCCTGTAAAATAAAGAGAATGACAGTGCCTATTCACAGCTACGATGATTTAATCACTGAAGGTACGTTAGTGTCATTATAGCTCTCTGCTCCTTCCCATTTTTTTTTACTGTTTTCTCATGGATGTCCAGCCTCTGCTTTTTTGCAGCTTGCCTTGACATTGGTACCTGATGTCATGACTGCGCCTGTCACTTCTATGTCTGACATTCCAGCTGTGGTCCCACAGGCACCTCACACGTGAGCCAAGCCAAACTTATCACGCCCTCCCTCAAGCCTGCCTGCCAGCCAGTTCCCAAGCAGCGGCGATAAACACATATTGATCAGCTCCTCTACGCCAAGCACTGTCTCACACACGTCATTTGCCATTTAATTCCCAATGTGGGAGGTTCCACTCAACAGTCACCCAACTTTGAAATCCCTGGGCCATTTTTGACAATTTCTTCTCTCCTGCATGGCTTGTTGGTTCTACATCATCGATGCCTGCTGCCCCGCACCTGAGCCCATCCTCAGCTAAGAAAGCCACACTCTTCACAACTCACCCGCATCTTCCCCTCCCTGCACTGCACGTCCACACTAATCAAGGCTCCCATGACCTGCCACGTGCCTGCCTTTCCTGCCACC